CCCCTCCGCCCCCGCGCCCCCCGCCGCGCCCCGCCCCAAACCCCACCTCCCGCCGGTGCCCTCAACTTCACTTCCGGCCCTGGGAGGAGCCTCCGCGGCCCCCGCAGGTCTGTGCGCCCCCGTCGCCACGCCAGAGCTCCGCAGCGAAGCCCCCTCGGACACCCCTGGTGGACACCGAGGTGTAGCCGCCCTCCCCGCCACCGCGCCGCGCCCCCCACCTGGGTTTGGCCCGACACGTGGCCCTCGGGTCCTGGGAGGGGCCAGGGTGAGGGCAGGGGCGGACTCGGGCAGGTACCTGCGTCCCAGGACCACCGCTCAGGACCACCGTTCTAGGGGTGGTGGACGTGGGCGGCTCCGGCATGAGTTCGGGGGCCGCTCCGCGACTGCGGGCGCTCCAGCGACACCTGGGCTCCTCGGAGGTAGGGGGCGGGTCCGGACGCTGGGTTCCTGGCTCGTCGCGGCCTGGGGGCTAAGGTCCGAGGTGGCGCATGAGCCAGGGGCTCTGGGAGAACGGGGAGATGGGGTCTGACCAACCCCTGCCCGCACTGACTGGCTGGAGAAGGAAGCCCGTGTGTGGAGATGCCCTTCAGTGGCTGGGCGGAGGGGAGGGGGCCCTAGTAGGGTCTAGCGTGGGGGAATGGGGGTCAGACCAGCATTGTTTATGAAGCGTTTTTCAGTGTTTTGGCCCCACAGCCTCACGTAGCTGACTCAGGGACTCCAGCCCAACCCCGCCCCCTCCAGGGTCCAGGGGCAGCTGGGGACTCTGTCCTCTGGGGCTGTTTACTCCGAGGCTGCGGTCTCTACGCCAGTGCGGACACAGGGCTGGGCCCCACACGCTCATCCCTGTCCCTCTCTCGTGGTTCAGGGCAGAGGCATGGAGCTGGTCAGCAGCCCGCTGACCACGCATGTGCTGGACACGGCCTCAGGGCTCCCAGCCCAGGGCCTCTGCCTCCGTCTGTCCAGGCTCGAGGACCATGGCCAGCAGTGGACGGAGCTGAGAAAAAGGTAGGCTTGAGAGTCACAGAGAGTCCAGATAGCCAGGAAGTGTGGGCTGGATGGCGGTGCTGACCACCGTGCCATGGTCCCCTCAGCCTCGGGGCCAAAGAACACACTGGTGCGGCCTCACAGCCCCAGTGCCTACTGGGCCGGGAGCCAGGGCTTGCCTCTCCCTGAGGGCAGGGTTGGCTGAGGCCTGAAGTGTCATCTGAACGCCTCACTGTCACCGTGATTAACAGGTAACCTTGTGCCAGGCGGTGCACCGAACACTTCTCTTGTGTTCTTATTCTCACTACAGCCTGTGGCCAGGCTCCATAGTTGCCCCTTTTATAGTCGCGGAGACTGAGGCAGCGAGAGGCAAGCAAAGGTGGGCGGCTCGGCAGGCCCTGGCCCCTTGCCCCAGGCTCCACTGGATTAGGCCCAGCCCAGGCCCTGCCTTGTAGCGCTGGGGCCGCCCCGCGAGTCTCCTGAAGGAGGCAGGTTCCCTCTGGTGGTGGGAGTGGACGGCTGGGCCCCAAGGGGCCCCTGAAGGGCCTGAGGACAGAGAGCTCATCCCCCGCCCCTTCGCAGAGGCTGGGGTTCCAGGTTCTTGAAGGAATGTATGGAGTCCCCCGCAGGATCCTAGACACCCATTCCCAACTGCTCCCCCATAAACTGTGGGGGTACATGCTGCTCCTTCCAGTCGCAGCACAGAAACTTGAAAGCACAGGTGGCAAGAACAATGGGAGAACTTTCCAGACGTGACTGGGGGCTGATCAGTGAGCAAAGCGCCAGGCCCTCAGAACCCTCCATTCAGACACTCGGTACAGCTGGAAACAGGCCACCATGAGGATGGGGGTTTGGGGACAGTTACTGATCCAGAAAGCCACACACAATATATTAAATGAAAAGGGCAAGCTATCAAACAGTATGAATAGAACAATCCATTTTAGAGTATTTTTCCAAGTTTATGAATAAGCATAGTTATGCATAGAGAAAATCTAGAAAAATACATGCCAGTATAAAGGGATTATTGCTCATGGAATACATTTTTTTTTCCTTTTCTGCTTCTCTGTACTGGAGTTCCCTAAAAAGACACTGCAGTGGTGTCCCCTAGCTGCTCTAGACCCCAGGCCCTAGAACGTGGCCTGCTGCAGGGCATTCCCGGTGACTCAGGTTGTGGAGGCGTCTGAGGCCATGGGCCGACCGACCCTGGAGAGCCAGGCAGGGGTGACTCCTCACTCCCTCCGACTCCACTCTCTCCAGCTACACCGACTCGGATGGCCGCTGCCCGGGGCTCCTGCCACCAGGCCCGATGAAGGCAGGCACCTACAAGCTGTCCTTTGACACTGAGGGCTACTGGAAGAAGAGGGGGCAGGAGAGCTTCTACCCGTATGTGGAGGTGAGGGCCAGAGGGGTGGAGGCCTATGATTCACCAAGATTCCTGCAGTGGGCAGGCTGGTCCCACCTCTCCCTGGGCGGTGGCAAGCAGTGAGTTCACCTGCTTTGAGCTCTCGGAAGAAAGGTGTCCGGGGATTTTACCACAACACACCCATCCCTGCCCTGTCCCTGGGTAAAGCTGTGGGGCAGGGCCAAAAGTGACTCAGCCCCTGTGGACAAAGGCACTCACCTGACCCTGTTCGGGGCGGATCCTTCGAGTTCCCCGAGCCGAGGGCTTTCTCCGGGGGAGGATTCAGCCCCATCCGCAGCCCTCACCATTTTCCAGTTCTCCACTGGCTTCATCTGGCCCTCGGGGCTCCAGCCCCACTTAACTTCTGCCCCCGGTCCACAGTCTGGGCTGCCTGTGTGCTGCACCGGACCCTCACTCTGTCCCGGTGCCCTCTCTGCTTCTCAGGTCGTTTTCACCATCACCAACGAGACCCACAGGTTCCATGTGCCCCTGCTGCTGAGCCCGTGGTCCTACACCACGTATCGAGGAAGCTAGTGGCTGAGCCATCGCCTCCTCTGGACAACTGCTGGCCTGTGAGCATCAATCCCATCCCCACAGCTCACTGGGACACCTCAACAGAGGGCACCAGTTCACACTCCCTGCGGGAGATTCTGGCCCCCCAATTTCCAGTAGCCGCTGAGTCTCAGGCGTCAATAAAGTCAGTGCTGGCATCTGCAAGGCTGCTGCGGTTCCTGGGCTCGGCTGGTGCTGCCCTGGCCCGAGGTGGGAAGGAGGGCAGCAGGGAAGGAAGTGGTCAGGGCACCACGGGCCCTGGAGGTGCCTCTCCTCCACGTAGCCAGGCAACAAGACACACAGCAAATGTAGAAAAACTTCATTTGCAGACGATACAAATAGACAAACCGCTCCTGTCCTTGGTGAAAGGGAGTGTCATCCAGGGAGCAGTCCCAGGCGGGCACTACGTTGGGGTGCCCACGAGCCCCGCGGGACCCTGGCCCAGCGTCTGCCCAATCACGGCCGTCTCCAGAGGCTTGAAGCCCACGTTGTCCAGAGGGATTCCGAAGGCCAGGAGCTTAGCCTCATAGGTGCGCAGCAGGTCACTGTGGGCCTGTGGGGTGAGAGCAGCATCGGGAGGGGCGGAGCCACACGGAGGGTGACTCTAGCCCAGGCCTTACTCAGCTCTGGAGGGTGCAGGAGGGTGGTGGAGGAAAACCATTTAAAGCTAACCTTTACCAACGGCTCACGGTACGCCACACCTGATCATAAGCACCTTCACGTACATAACTCAGCTAACCCACAATGGGAGACACTGCCATTATTCCTGTTTCACAGATGGGGAAACTGAAGCAGAAGATACAGACTCAGAGCAGAACTAGAGTCTGAACGTGCTCCTGGCTCCTTGCCAGGCATTTCTCATTCAAATCAGTCATCCCTGACTTCACGGGCATGACCTTCCACGTGTATATGACCCTCCCTGCCTTGTGGGTGGAGAGTGCAGGCAGGCGGCCCTCCATCCCCCGATCCCAGGAAGGCTAAGGTCTGGGCAACAGTGCTGGTGGGGCCAACACAGGCAAGGTTCCTGTCTCCCCCCCCCCCCTCTGGAAAATGGATACTTTTTAAAGAGTTAAATTAATTGCATCGGATTGGTTACAAGGGATTGAAATGCACAGGAAATGCTTGGAGCCTGGTCTGACATCATCCTCACCATTATCAAGAAAAAGGTGCTGATGCTTGGAGCTGAGATTTAAAGGGTGAGCTCAGGCTGGGCTCCAGACAGAACTTGGGGGCTAGGTCCTGGCTCTCACCTTTTTCTGGGGGTCGGACCTCCTGACAATCAGATACATTCCCTTAGAACTGCACACACCAGTAGATGGTTCTAATTTTGTAGATCTAAGTATCAGGGGATGCCAGAGCATATAAGGGAAGTGTCCAGATGGGCAGGGCTGAGGAAAGGCTCAGGGAGATCTGGTCACGGGCGCTGGAGCCCAGCGCCAGTGACAGGCATTGCCTCCCTCCTGGGGTTCCACAACCCAGGGTGCACAGTAGAACCAGGATGCAATGTCCACCGGCAGGTTTATGGGCTTATCTGAGTCACACTCACGGGGTGGCTGCTCGAGGTAAATGTATCTGTAGGCGGCGCTATGTCTGCATTTCCCATAGGCAAAGCCAAGGCAGAGCTGGGGGCTCACCCACAGAGGAGTGAATACCGGGTAGAGGGCCCAGGCCTCTGGGGCTCATGAGGCAGACAAGAGAAGGGTCAAGGCACTCCCTGCCACTCCCCAACAGCGGGAGGCCTCCACACTGCTGGTGGCTTTGGTGTGGGTACGGGGTGCAGCTTTCATCAGACTTACAAAGGAGTGAGAGAAGCTTAGACTCGTAACTGTCCCCTACATAGAAGCAGCAAAGGAGGCCCACCAGTCACCCCAGACGCCAGGTCAGCAAGAGTAAAGGGTCAAACAGGGAGACAGGGACAGAGCACCCTCATTTAGCAGACATCCACTGGGCAGGCCCCTGTAAGGGACACCAGGACCATGGCCAGAGCTGAGACAGGGCTGTCTCAAGCCCGGCAGCTACAGGTCTCCCGGGTGGCCAGGATGCCAGCACAACCGCACCCCCGTGGCAGCATCAGAGACCCAGTCCACACACACAGTGACCCTTAGAAGGCCCAGACGGCCTCAGGCTGTGTATGCCTCAAAGTGTAAATCAGGTGGGGCCCTGAGAGAGGGTCGAGGAGGCTCCTCATACCTTGCAGACCCGGGCCAACTCATACTGCAAGTCCTTGATAGCGTTGTTCTTTGATTCTAGAACATTCTAAGGAGAGAAAGGTGGATGTGAGTTGGAGCTTGTCTTTGAGCTGAGGTGGACGGGGGTTGGCAGGGGTCTGGGAGCTCCAGCAGGGGACCGCAGACATCCAGGGAATGGCAGCCTGACCCCATCACGGTGTGCATCCACACAGGGCGCAGCCAGCCGCACAGACAGGTCTTCAGAGGAGAAAGGGAAGACACCATCTGCCTCTCCAGATGGCGACTGTCTAGATGCTGGGAAGTGAGGACACGAGATTAGAGGAGCCGGGCCAACCACGGCCCAGGGAAGGCCCCTTGAACCCCCACCCGCTGCCTGGAGGGTTCCTGCCTGGCCAGAGAAGTAAGCGTCCAGGAAAGGCGAGAGCTGCCACCTGGCCCACGGTGACCCTGGCCCACAGGCCCAGCTGCAGCAACCGCTGAGGACCGGACTGATTTCATCAGGAGTGCCGGCAACACAGCCTCATCCAGCTCCAAGACCAGCTGCCCCTCCCAAAAGTAGAGGCAGGAAAGCCGTCCTGACCTTTCTAACAGGGCCCTCGCTCCCCGCCGGCCGGCGTTCACAGGGATTCACACACAAACAAGGACAAACAAGGACGCAGATGGGCCCCCAGACCCAAGTCCATGGTGCTGCCAGCCCGGACTAGGCCCCTCCCATGTGGCTGCACCACCACAGGCCCCGAGAGCCTGTCCTGAGTGACTCAGGCCCTCCTGGCCCTGCCACCCCCTGAGCCAGGACTCACTGCTGCCCGAAAGCAGCATCTGGTCTCATCCAGAAATGGGCACTCCATAACGTTGGACTCCTCAGCACTTCTCCACCAGCAATAGGTCCTTCACCCCTACTCAGTGCCAGCTCACCTCCCACCTTCCCAGAGGGTTCTCTCTGATCCAGTCTGCCCCACCCAGGACCTTCCATGTTTCCTTACCAGCCCCAAACCCAGGGGCACAGCCAACAGCATGAGAATCACCCCCATCCCTCTGGCTCTGCTCCCTTCGCCTCAGCCCTGCACTCCCCCCAACACCCAAGCAGCAGCAAGGGGCTCACAAGGATACAACCAAGTGGGAGCTGCAAGCTTAAGGTCAAGGCCAGGTGGGCAGTAGGCCAGTGCAGGATGCTTTACATAAACATGAAGTGACCTGACACAGAGTTAATCCTCAGGGCCTGGGTGTCATGTGAGCAAAGGGGGGTTTATGTTCAGCTGAACTACACAGGGACAAATCACCTAAAAAATGCTACCTGTGTAGGGACACCTGGGTGACTCAGTCAGTTAAGCGTCTGACTCTTGGTTTGGGCTCAGGTCATGGTCTCACGGTTCGTGGGTTCGAGCCCAGCATCAGGCTCCGGCACTGTCAGTGCAGAGCCGGCTTGGGATTCTCTGTCTCTCCCTCTCTCTCTGCCCCTCCTCTGCTCGCTCTCGCTCGCTCTCGCTCTCTCTCGCTCTCGCTCTCTCTCAAAATAAATAAATAAAACATTTTTTTTTTAAATGCTATGTGTGCCATTTCTCAGGATGAAACACGCTTGCGCAAACCGAAGCAGTCAGCAGCCCCTAACTCCGAAGATCTGTTTCTCCATGAAGGAAAAGCAGACACACACAGGCACCGTCTATCCTGGAAGGATCCACCTCTGGGACAAGCTGGCCTCTCCTCACTGGGCCTCTCCATAAAGACATACAGACCAGCTGCGTTCTCTGGGGCCATGCACACCCGCGTCTGTCTCCCAGGCACCCAAGGGCACTGCACCTGGGGTTGTCTCACACCCGGCAGCTACAGTAGGTCACCCAGGTGGCCAGGATCCCTGCACAGCCGCACTCCCGCGGCAGCCCAGAGACCCCTTGTCCAGCCTCACCCGTTCTTTCTGTGACATGCCCCAACTAGGCCCAGGGAACAGAGACACAAGGCCCAGCTCCAGGCAAGACGGCCTGCCAGGTGCTGTCAGGCTTTTGCTTGCTGAGCCAAAGCTGGCAGCTATTGCCAGGGTTCCTCAGCTGGCCCCACCAGCCCATGGGCACCCGTGCCCCATCTGTCTTGTTTACTGCTGTCCCCAGTGCCCAAGATGGTTCCAGCATAAAGGAGCACCACGAGGAACTGTGAACTCGTGGCCTTTGCTCAGACATCACTCCCTCTGGGAACCCTGCCACAGCACCCGCCACCACAAAGGGGCACCCACAGCCCTGCATTTCCCTGTCCTAACTGCCCACGGCCCTGCATTTCCCCATCCTAACTGCCCACAGCCTACATCCGGACATCAAAGCAACCCAGGCAGACTGTGGCAGTAGTCTCAGCTGAGAGCTCACGGGCCCGACTGTCCCCCAGGCCTGTCTCTAGGTTTGCTGCCAAGTTCCCGAGGAGCGCTGGCCCACAGCAGCTTGAGAAACCCAGGGCCTGATAGGCTGAACTAAACCCATCTCGAGAACTGGACGGGCAGTGGGCTCAGGGCCAGAAGGGCTGAGAGGTTAAGGAGGGGACTGCAGAAGACCTCAGACCTGAGCAAAGCCAGTAAAAGAGAACCTGGGGAGCCTGATGGCACACACGGGCCTGTGAGCAGACATCTGCAGCCCCATCTATGCTCAGGCCACAGGAAACCCATGACCCTCCCAACATCACCTGAGGGTCCCCACCGGAATGACGGAGGCTGGACACAAACACACGAAACAAGCGACCCCCAAGCCAAGCTCAGGACGCCTACTGGGGGGCAAGGACATGAGGCTCCAGCCCAGCACCTCCCCAGGAGCCCGCCTGGGGCCTACCTCCAGCTTGCGGGACACAAGGGTCAGGGCAGCAGGGTCCAGGTTGGAGGCCGCCAGCACCTCATTAATCTGCACCTCTTTCTTCTCCACAGCAGCGCTCAGCGCCTGCAGCTTCCGCTCCAGAACCAGGTTCTTGAAGCCCACCTTCTGCTGCACCTCCAGGATGGCCGCGGTGAACTTCCTGTACAGCTCATCTCGCTCCTGCTGTACCTGCAAGGGACAGGCTGCAGTGGACAAAGAGGCCACCTCCCCCGGAAGCATCTCACTGGTCAGAAGCCCCCTCCCGCCTCTTCCCTGGGCCAGAACATACCACTTCTGCCGAGTGAACTCCATTCACCAGTGCCCACCCACGGATGGGGGGGCTGGGTGTCATTTACACTGCCGCCACACCCACTGTCTGTGACGGGATTAAAGGGCTGCAGCCATCCACACTGTGGAAAGCAGGAGGAAACACTAACCGGACCCTCGTCTACTAAGCTGTTTCAGGAGGTAGGAGGGCACCCTCGTTAGAGCTGGAGAAGCCCCACAGAGAGTGGCAGCGGCGGTGGTTTGTAACAGCAAAGGACGAAAACAAAGACATCTCTCCAGGGGAAGTGGCTGCATAACAAACGGAGCCTTCTGGGGCACCTGGGTGGCTCACTGGGTTAAGCGTCCGACTTCAGCTTAGGTCATGATCTCACAGTTTGGGAGTTCGAGCCCCGCATCAGGCTCTGTGCTGACAGCTTGGAGCCCGGAGCCTGCTTCGGATTCTGTGTCTCCTTCTCTCTCTGCCCCTCCCCAACTTGTGCTCTGTCTCTCTATGTCTCTCAAAAAATAAATAAATGTAAAAAAAAAAAATTTTTTTAAATGGAGCGTTCTGGCACAGAGCCGAACATGACTGTTCTGTGTGTACAATCTGGAGACAGCACAATCAAGGTGAGGTTAAAAAAAAAAAAAAAAAGCACAGCGTTCGTAAGGCATGAAGCCACCTGTACATAAGGGTGCACAGGAAGAAGTCTGCCCAAAACTCAAGGAGCTGCTACCACTCATGAGAACCAGCACTGCACAGCAGGAGGGCCCTCTCATTTTCACTCACAGACGGCAGGGCTCCAGGACTTCTTTACAATGTGTGCCCGACAGTTTACTACTTAAACACATGTACATACATGGAAAAGACCCTCGATGCAAGGGCCAGGTACCCTTCACGTGCTTCAGAGGTGAGCCAGGGGGAAAGAGAATTGGGGGTGATGGTCTCCCAGCAGGGCACCTGCTCTGTGAGACCCTGGGCCTTCTCTAGAATGTACCACAGGGTTTTGCCTCATAAGGCTGCAGAGCGTGAGAAGTGGACAACAGGACTCCCAGCTTTCGAACCTAGAAACCCAGCCGCGGTTTTAAGGCTTCCTGAAACCTATGGCTGAGCCAGGGTTACAGGAAGGGTCTCTCCCTGACTGGGGGTCCCTGGGATGCCGGCCTGGCATCTGCTCACCTTGAGAAATCGCTGCTCCAGCACCTCGTGTTCCCACTGCAGGTCCTTTAGCTCTTTCTCAGCAACCTTCAAACGTGCTTTTGTGCGCTGGAGAGAAAATGAAAGGTGGAGGACAAAGTGTTCAGGACCAGGCGTCCACGTAATGCAGGCTCCTGGGGGATGGCAAGGCCAAAAATAATTGTGGAAGAGAGCTGCCTCAGGGGCACCTGGTGTCTCTGGATCAGCGCGGTCAGTTCGAGCCCCATCCTCAGTGTAGAGACTGATAGAATGAATGAAGGAACGAACGAATGAACGAAGGACTGGCTCAAGGACACAAGCAGCTGAGCGCCCCCCGCAGCAAGCTGGTGGAAACACCTATTGCCCAGATTGTGCATCAGCTTAACATCCTGTACATGAAGGACACCAGTCAGAGAAGCTGAGATTCAGCCCCCCAGTCCTGCCCTAAAGGCCGATCCTGCTCTGGGACCCAGGAGACACCTTGCTGATGTCCCTCCTCTCCTAGCCCAGGAGGAAGTGCAAGGAGGGAGGCACAGTCAGGCAGAAACTCACAACCAGGGTCTGTCTGTCCCTCTCATAGTTCCCAAGCTTCTTCTGCATCTCAGTCACGTCATCCCGAGCCTTCTGGAGAGGGTCTGTCAGGCGCTTGTTCTGCGCGGACACCTCCATCATCTCCCTCTCGAGGTGACCTTCCTTCTTGCGCATGTCCTCCAACTGCTCCTGTTGGCACAAGTACGGCAGGGGTGCGGCAGGGGTTCGGCAGGCAGAGCCGAGGTCTTCAGAGGGCAGAGCCAGGAGCCCTCCTGCCCACCAAGGACGGTCCTGAAGACCTGTTCTGTGTATAAACACGGAGTAATTTTGCAGTCTTCACTTATTCTGAATCTTCTAGGAAGGCTGCTTCCACACAAATTGAGATTACACTTTTCCAGGACCCGAGGGGCATTCCCCACCGTGGGAACTCTGTCCCTGCCAGCACTTGCGTGGTGATGACACCACCTGTGCAGCCATGCTGGGGCTCCCACTACAGTTCCGCATGAAGCTTCCACCTGTCGAATGTGTCCTTTTCACGAGCCCCACCTACACTACAGTCAGGGCAACATCCTGGCTGCCGCCAGCCACAGGTGTGGAGAGGCTCCATTATGAATTCAAACAAGGACAGAGGGGCACCATGAAACATCTTTAAAAGGAGAGTAATGGGCCCGACGGGGTGGAGACCTAGTGTCTGGGGCCCCCGGCCCAGCCGGCCCTAGCGCAGCACCTTGAGGGAGTTGATGAGAGCCAGGTTATTGAGGGTGATGTCATTGTAGTAGTTCTTGATGTCCGTAAAGGCTTCTTCATGCCGCTGCATCAGCATGTTGATCTGGCCGTTCTTTCTCTCCTCCACCTCGTGGATCTCAGTCTTTCTCCTCAGGTCAAGTTCATCCCTAAGCATCTTCATTTTTTTATCATACTTGGCCTCAATTTCTGAAAGGCAGAAGCACATATAGGGCAGCTTAGCAGAGGAACAGGTGGCCCAGTGTCTATCAGAATAGATGGAACCTATGGGCACCTGGGCAGCTCAGTAGGTTGAGCGTCCGACTCTCGATTTCGGCTCGGGTCATGATCTCATGTTTCATGAGTTCGAGCCCCATGTCGGGCTCTGCACTGATAGCATGGAGCCTGCTTGAGATCCTCTCTCTCCCTCTGTCTCTCTCTGCCCCACCCCTGCTCATGCTCTCTCAAAAAATAAACATTAAAAAAAAAAAAAAAAGAATAGATGGGACTTCTAAACACAGCCCAGGAACATCCACCGGGATGAAGGCTGTGCACACAAGCGCGGCCAAAGCACAGGACGGGTCTGAGTGGACCTCTCTCTGCTGAGGCTCACAGATGACATATTCAGCACACACACACCACTGTCTGCCTTCCTTTGCCTGTAGCAGGCACTGATAATCAATCCCGGGGTTAGGGTTCCCAAAACCAAGTGTCAGCTGATCCCACGGCTCGGTGGTCATCCAGGCCGACTCTAGAGCTTTGTCTGTGAACCCGACAGACTTCTCAAACGGGAGCCTCCTTGGGCCAGAAGACATGAAGACTATTCTAAGAATACTGCCCACAAGACAATAACTGCCACGTGCCTCAAACTGCTGATTTGTGCCGGGAGTAGGGCCGTAGGTGGTAATCACAGCCTCCCCAACTTGCGTGGAAGTAAGTTGTTCCGGGATTCTGGGCAATCCGTCAGCCTTGGAAACTACATTTTCTCTCTGCGCGTCTAGGCCATTTTGACCTGGTTTCTGTGCCCTGGGTGAGCAGGCCCTAGAGGTAAATTTCCTTCTGACAGGACGCATGTAAGGAACTGACCTCGCACTTGCCTCTCGAAGTCATTCCGCATCTTGGTGACCTCCTCGCTGTGCTTCTGCGAAGGCAGAGAAGCAGGCCGTTACTAGGTGACAGACACACACAGAAGCCTCTCCCTGGGGCTGGCCCTGCTCCTCGGTGGTATGGAAAATCCAACTCCGGAAACTCTGCGCTGTTTCTGGAGGGTGCTGGGTTCCCCTCACCTCCGAGCTCTTGGACCATGCTCAGAATAACGTGGTTTTGGTAACTTCCGTGTTTCATAATTCACTTTCCTTGGTTAATGACCGAATGTTAACAGACGTGCTCAACACTGACCGTGCTTGGCCCCTCACTCAGCTTGCCCACAGGTCGGAGAGCACGGGCCATGTCTACACGGAGCTGCAGGTTCTCTCCAGATGCCTGACGGCCTGCTTCAGCTGTGACTTAGAGCAGCATTCACAATTATTTTCACAGTTATATAGAGAGGTTTTGAATAGAAAATTTAGATTATTTTTTATAGGATAGTACTTTTGCACAAAGGGGTATTCTGACCACGTAACTACTCCATATCCAGGCCTCATGTAAGCAGACAGCCTCACATCACCAAATTCACTGGAAATCTGTCTGTCAGCAAAGATCAGACTATTCTTATAGGTCCAAGACTTCACCGTCAGCCTTCACTGCAAAGTTTTTTCTTAGTTGAGGCTGCGGTGCCTCCAGCATGAGGCAAACCTATTAACAAAGTCTTCCGAACCCACGGCCAAGAAGAACCTTAGAAAACCAAAGTCAGACACATCTTCCCTCTGCCCAAAACCTCCAAAGTTCCCCCAACTAAACCCAGGTCAACAGCTGGGTCCTGACTGTGGCTTTTGATGCCGACAAGCTCTGACCTACCTGCCCAGCCACCTTGCCCCTTGCTCCTCTGGGCCTCCACAACAGCCCATCCCCTATGCCTTCTCCAGACCTGGTCTCCCTAAGCCTGGCTCAGCCCCACCGCCTTCCAGCCTTTGCCCAAATGTCACCTTCTCAATGAGACACTCCCAGAATTCCTTGTAGAAGAATACAACCCTACCCTCAACCCACTGCATCCTCTTCCCCACACTGCTCTTCCCACCGCGTTTATGCCTGTGGACATGCTCCACGTATCCAACACTTCGTTCTGTCTTTTGTCTCCTTCCTGGACTGTCAACCACATGTGGGCAGTCATTCTCTCAGTCCTGTTCCCTGTCCCCAGAGATCAGAACAGGGCTTGGCACCTTATGGGCACCAGGCAAATGAATCTCAACCTCCACCTGGAACCCCCAAGCCTCACTCAGAAAGGACCAAAAAGTTAGCCAGGTGCTTATGAACCCAGCTTGCATGACAAACTGCCATGGCCACGGAGGGGCTGGTATACCAGACATGTTAATGGTTGCATATGTTTCTTTTTTTCTTTTTAATGTTTGTTTATTTTTGAAAGAGAGACAGAGCACGAGCAGGGGAGGGGCAGAGAGAGAGGGAGACACAGAATCTGAAGCAGGCTCCAGGCTCTGAGCTGTCAGCACAGAGCCCGGCACAGGGCTCGAACTCACAAACTCGAGATCATGACCTGAGCCGAAGTCGGACGCTCAACCGACTGAGCCACCCGGGCACCCCGGTTCTGTATGTTTCTAAATGCACCTGACAGACTCCCT